AAAAAAAAAAAAAAAAAAGGAAAGTTCCTGATAATCTAAATTGTTACGGAGTTCATTTGGTACTAAGATATCACTTTAGTAACATAGTTTTATACCCTAACTACAGTTTAACGTATCTGGGGAAGAATAAATTAAGAAATGTGGATGTTTCCCTAACATGACAGACATACATAGCCTTTTATTCTGTTTTTTTAAGGTCATTAAATATGTATACAACAGAAAAGTAGTTCGACAGCCTTCCTGAATAGGGAAAAATACACAAAACACATTGCGCTTTTCTTGGCACAAAACAAATGTTTTATCTCATTGACTTACAAGTTAGATCAACTACTCAAAATGGAGATCTAATCAATTTTCACCAATTTTTGTTAATATTTTCACTTATGTAAAAGGTTGCCAAGCTTCTAGATAGGGATAGTGACCATTTCACCAACTGATTTAGGCACTTCAATTATGATTTAGGCGGTTCAAATATATGCATATTGAAAAACAATTATAGCAGAGATAAATTATCTAAAGATAGCTAGTTGTATAGCAAGATGTTGTATTTTTACCTGTCCTTTAATATCACAGCAAAACTGGAAATATAACTTATTACATGTTTATCTTCTTTACATCATCCAAGATCCCAAAAGAGGAGTATACATTTTCTGAGATAACTGCTTCGGGAATTTACCAGATTTTGAATGCATCAGAATTCCTCGAACACGAAAGTGATCAAAGAATGCTACTTGAGGTTTCAAATCGTGTTGCAAAAGAAGCCGCTCAGAAAATGAAAAACTGTGAACTTACTGTTATTCTTCACAACTTCAATGGCCATGTTCACGATCGTGTGAAACAAATTGTGATCACAGCAGGTAAAGGAGAAGACAAAATCCAGTGTTCAAAAAACACAAATGGTGATATACAATGGGAATGTCAGGATTCGGAAAGAGAGGTGAGTAGCTTGTCATAAACGCTTATTTTCACACTACAGTACGGCTAATTTGGTAGGATAAGTTGCTGAATAAGACATATGAATTCTACAAATGCAAAGTAACAAAACACATATTTCAAAATGAAATTGGCGGTGCGGAGAGCTTTACAAAAAAGAACGTTTTACTGCACCATAGGCCAATTCGTCAATTTTGCATTTTGCGGTAGTATTAAACGTCAAAAATGAATTTATAAGTGTCTTCTTACATGACCCTTACATGATGAGAAAAACAATTCATGCATAGTGTGTAACCTCGCTATATTACTGGTACTGATAATTTTGTTCCATTTTTTCAAGGAACTAAAGGAACACCACCGTTGTGCAACACTTACAATTTCTGAGATAAACAAGATTTTAAACAATTCAACATTTCTTGAAAATAAGATTCACCGGCAATTCGTAGCCAGCGAACTTCGCAAAGCAGTAGAAGAGGAAATGGGAATGGTCCGGCAAAACTGTACGCTTACTATCGAGCTGGAAGACTTGGAAAGTCCTACTGGTATTGCCATGAAATACATCATCGTCACAGCCGGAAAAGGTGAGAATAAAATATTTAGCTCAAAAGACAAACCATGGCGGTTCGAAGATAAAGCTACTAGTGTAAGCATTGCTCATACAGCAAGGTCCGCATTTAACACTGCCCGGGACTATGGTCAAGGAATTATGACCGCTGCTACGAGTCGTATTGTTTCAGGGATCAGAGCGGCAATAGGCTATTAGTGAAAATGAACTCAGAAAGAGTATTTTTTGCATGAAAAATTGAAGGAAATCATAGTTTTTCACTATTCAGCTAATTCTTTGCTGTAAGGATAAAACGATAAGACTATGTAATATGTACTCACTACTTCACGGTTGAGTGAACTATATTTAACTATACTGAACTCATGCTGCACGCATATCGCTGTAACTATATCTGAACCTGTACGTCTGTTGATAGTTGATATGTCCAGTATAAATACTGATAATTATAAAAGATCAAGAAGCGATAGGAGTTCATCTTCATCATCATCAGATTTGCCCGCTTGANGCTGCTACGAGTCGTATTGTTTCAGGGATCAGAGCGGCAATAGGCTATTAGTGAAAATGAACTCAGAAAGAGTATTTTTTGCATGAAAAATTGAAGGAAATCATAGTTTTTCACTATTCAGCTAATTCTTTGCTGTAAGGATAAAACGATAAGACTATGTAATATGTACTCACTACTTCACGGTTGAGTGAACTATATTTAACTATACTGAACTCATGCTGCACGCATATCGCTGTAACTATATCTGAACCTGTACGTCTGTTGATAGTTGATATGTCCAGTATAAATACTGATAATTATAAAAGATCAAGAAGCGATAGGAGTTCATCTTCATCATCATCAGATTTGCCCGCTTGAAAAAAATCCTCCATATACAATTACGTTCTTGAGTCACCAGAACCTCCCAAACTGTGTACTGTATATCTAGGTGAGGGAATACAAAGTGTACCTGTGTCGTCGAAAGTTGAAATAGATCCCCACTTTGTTTATGACTCTGGTCAGCCCCATGCCATTCCAGAGTATAGCTAATAGACCCATATCTGTGACATTGTCCCACGAGCAGACCGAAAAGACAGCCGATCGTTGATTTGTTTAAACTGAAAAAAAACCTTCGCAATATGATTAGGGCGGATGTGGCGCCCATTCAACATAAATTAGAAATTCCGGAGAAGGAAAACACAAAGCTCCGTATGGCAAGAGATGAAGTAGAACAGTACGGTCCGCGCCCCCTCGTCCGGTTTTCTTTGGTCCCGGAAGTTTCCCCTACTGGTAATTAGCCTGGTCGGCAACATGATGATTCAATGACTCTCATACTCGATACTTGTGAGAAAACCGGCATCCCAATCACTCACGATGACATCTAAAGATCTCAACGTGTCGGCTAAGACTAAGGCAGCCAAGTCGAAATGGCTCTGTAAAACCTCGTCAAATAATGCCCGCATAAAAACTAGCGACGGCAAACACACCCTGCTCGTGAGCAGCTCCAAACTTTGAGCAATTAACGGCATGAACTCTTCAACGAAGATCTGACCAAATTGCGAGACACTCTCTTCTACAATGCACGTCATCTCACAAGGTAAAAACTTATAAAAAAACCTGGACAACAAATGGGAAAAAAGTCTAGCCGGACTCTGATTATCAATTATAAGTAAATATTATGTAGACTCTTAGAAGTGTGAGAAAAGCTTTCTTATCTCATGTCAGGTACGACCGGAGTGATTTATGTGCTGACACTTACTATGCATATAATTTGTTACCTCTGTACCTCTACCAAACACCAGTTTCCGGTTCCGTGACTCTGGCCGCCAACTAGTGTAGTACGAGCTACCTGTTTGTTATTGTGTGATTCCGCTGATAGTGTTGGATTTGTGATATAGTGACATTCTGGAAGACGAGTGTAATAGGTGTGAAGTTAGCTGTTACCTGTATATATAGACGGTGTCTGACTGAATAATTATTGTCGGATGTCTCCCTTCGGCTGGGTTTTGACAGTGTGGGGGATTGTTATATTTATTATTTATTGGTGTACTTATTTGCTTTGATTTATAACATAGTAATAGGCTCCCTCATTCTTCGAATCTAGTTGGGGCGGGGTGTGTGATTGGATTTGGTCAGTCGGACACAGCAATTTTGTATTTAACTTTTTGCAGATATACGTACTTGATATAAAGTTGTTGAGCACAAATCGATTGTAAATCAGCTCTTCTTCTTTCGTTTTTCTTTTTGCATGAATGTACAGAGCCTGAGACCTTACCTCGACCTTCTCTTCATTAAATTATATAGTTTTAGTATTTTGGCATTTACCGAAACTTTGTTAAGTGAATCACAAATCGATAGCGATATTGAACTACCGGGTTTTCAAAAGCCTTCTTGTTGTTGTAGATCTCATAGAATAGGGTAGCAGTTTGTATAATGAACGTTATATTTGCTAAAAGACGACAGGATATAGAAGTAGGGTGCATAGAATGTGTTTGGATCGAGATCTAACATAAATGACAAAAACTACTATTTGGAAAGTTTTACCGACCTCCAAACCCTGATACAAATGATTGGGACAAAATTGAACATTCCATTGACTTAGCATATAATACTGGTATTGATGTTATAATTATAAAGGGAAACTTTTATTCAAATGTTCTCCGTCCAGGTCTTCATATTACAAGGTTAATGAATTTTATTCAGCTGTATGATATGTCACAGCTCATCAACGAATACACCTTTTATACTGAAACACACTCTGGTCTATTATATATATTATTAGTAAGCAATGATTACATTGTTTCTCATACGTATGTAGACGAACATTTTAAAACAGAATACGCGCTATCCTCGCCCTATTAACGGCCTACTTAGTCTAAAAATCGTGTTAATTGATATGATGACCATTTTACTGAAAAAATTATGACCGTTGCTCGAGAATTTTTACCTATTAAGTCTGCAACAATCAGACTCTGTGATCCGGCATGGATGTGTCATTTTAACAACGGGAAAGCAAATATTGACTTAATTTGGATGAAGATCTTAATTTATACACAATGAAAAGGGGAAAATTCAAATAAGTAGATATGTTAGTTTTTTTTTTGTTTTTTTTTTTTTCAAAATAGATTTTTATTTGTTTGTTTGCTTTGTCACAACGGAAAAATTAATTCCTAATATTAACGGAAGCTGCTGGTCCAATTATAAACAAAATTAACGAAGATGAATTTCTGTTAGTAAACATTTTGTTTTTTCAATTTTTCAATTTTTTGTTGGTTTCCATATTTATCCATATATGTTGACGCCGTGATATCAGTTTTCTATATCACAAGTTTGATATAATTGTAGTGTTATTGAAACAGAAATTTATGATCATATAATTATAATCAATTATGTTTTGTTATTGAATTTGTTAAAATGAGTGAACCTATGAACCTATGAACCACCTATGGACACTGAAGGTCAAACCTATCAACCAGGTTCAGAGCTTGATGATTTCATGATCTATTTAATAAAATACATATATCTTTATGATTATTTTTGGCAAATACTTGTTTTTCGGACTGATAGTATACCTATTGGTATTGTTATCTTTTGCAACATATAAGTGTTGCTGATTGTTCGGACATTATTGAAGTTTAAATCATGTTAAGCAGATTGCAAACAAGTTACCCTCTTGTTAAGATTAGCTGTTATGTTCCGTTGTAGTTATCAATGTAAGTTGTGGTAATTATCTATCAGTATTCTAATCTATGTTAACCGTTGTAGTAATATATATATACTTTGTGAATTGTTGCAATTAGCCATAGACAAAAGTAATTGACATGTAAAACGTTCAAGACATTAACTTTCTTCTTTCTATAATGTATCTGATTTTTTATTTCAATGTTTGTAAGTTGTTTTCTATATCACAAGTTTGATATAAATGTAGTGTTATTGAAACAGAAATTCCTGATCATATATAATCAATTCTATTTTGTCAATGACAGTGAATTATCTGAATGCATGAGTCATAATTTGGATGCAATAGCACGAAATGTTGCCTCTTGTTGTGTTGTGATATTTATTTCTGTGATAACTAAGTGCAGTGACATTGGACAAAGACGTTTACAGCTCCCAGTAAAACATGATTCAGAGCAAGACAGTTTCAACAATATGATTAAATATTTATTATTGAATTTGTACCTATGGACACTGAAGGTCAAACCTATCAATATATATAACCGGGTTCAGAGCTTGATTATTTCATAATCTATTTAATAAAATACATATATCTTAATGATTATTTAATGGCAAATACTTGTTTTTCGGACTGATAGTATACCTATTGGTATTGTTATCTTTTGCAACATATTAGTGTTGCTGGTTAATCGGACATTATTCAAGTTTAAATTATGTTAAGCAGATTGCAAACAAGTTATCCTCTTGTTTAGATTAGCTTGTTATGGTCCGTTGTAGTTATCTTTGTAAGTTGTGGTTATTTATCTATCAGTATTCTAATCTATGTTAACCTTTGTAGTAATCTATATATACTTTGTGAATTGTTGCAATTAGCCATAGACAAAAGTAATTGACATGTAAAACGTTCACGACATAAACTTCTTTCTATTATGCATCTGATTTTTGATTTTTCAATGTTTGTAAGCTTTTAAATAAAATCTTATTCAAACAGAAAAGCATTTGTCACTTTATATCACATGAACAGTATTGCACATTTATGGAACTTATCATATTCGTTTAATGATTTCTATTTTATGGGCCAACTGGATTTATGAATCGTAATTATTCAATGTTGTTTTAATTCCACATCTAGAACAGGTTCATATTTTGGTTTGATGCTTTTAGTTAAACGTAAACACTGTGCAATCGTATTAGTCATTTTGTATTAATGATACACAAAGAACCAGATTTAATTATTTATTTTAACGATGGGTTTTCGCACATGTTGTATTAATATTTGATTATTAGAAAGAACCATGCCTAATTCTATCTTTGCTTAGGACATAAACAGGGACAGCTTACTCTATGATAAATGTGACGATTTCGATTATTCTATAGTGAACATTCCCTTTCTTGATAGAAGCATTCTCCTCAACCTACGGTGTTCATGTATCGTCTTTTATTCGGTATTCAAGGGTTTGCTCCAAATATTATGTTTCCTGTGATACATGTCGACCATGACTGACAACCTAACAACAAAAGCTTTGAAGAGATCTTGGTTGTTGAATACTGTGGACATGTTTAATGGTCAACGTTGTGGTATCATTTGGAAATATTCTGTTTCCTGGTGCGATGAGGGTCGATGCACACTTATGCTTATGGGTATGCCTTGGTGTTACGTTGTCAATTTCGCGGATCTCACTTTGAGGGGCTTGTTCTCGTTTCCCCCACTTTTTAAAATAACATGGGGGGAATAATGTTGTTAGAAGGATTATAGTCTGTTTCTAAGTAGTATGGGCAGTACTTACCTGTGTTTTTACCTGTGTTTACCTGTGTTGCTACCTGTGGCTAACTCTTCTTTCTAAGGTGGTGTTTTATCATATTTAATTAAATAACAAATTATATAAGTTTTTTCAGATTTGTATGGGTATGGGTTTCTGTGTTAATTTTAAATGTTAAAATTATTTAAATATTAATCATATATATAAATATATATATTTTCAGTATTAAATATATCCATTTTGTTGTCCTTGTGCTGCTGATAAGATGATAAGATGAAATGTGTTATTTCATTTTCTAGTACTTTAAAAATATTAATATAACTTTATTATCTTCATTATTGTATCATTTAATAAGATGCCTACATTACCTTGTACATAATGTAAGAAAGTAATGTGTGACTAAGAGTGGGGTGTTTAACAGCTAATTAATAAGTTAATTAATCAAAATTCCTAGATGTTATAAGTTTCTTTTAACTATCATAAAAATCATTGAACATCTATAATTATCCAAGCTATCATTTCCATCCATGTGAGCTAAAAGTGATCACGGCCTATGCTTATTCAATTCAATTCAATTTATTACCAAATGCACATTGCATATAGGCGTATAGAAATATACATATAGATAAATACTTTACAAATATTTTGTACAATGGCCGAGAACATATGCAATAGATTCAATTCCATACATAATATTTATAAATTATGAAATGTCATCAGTTTGGGAAAACTTTAAGTTTTTCCTAAGGTAACTTACCGGACTCTTATGAAGCATAATTTAGTTGCATAATTTAGTTGTTTATGAAATAAGACAAATAAAGCCTTAATCTAACCAAATTTCTAGGAAATAACAAAACTTCAAAGTTAACATGAAGGTAGAACGAGTACTATATATTATATAATGAAATGAGATTATTATAACTCATTGTGAAGTAAAAGACATAGAGATCTCATTCGCATTATACAGTAACAAAACGTTTATAGCAAGACTTTGATACAGCCTCTATTTCATAATATACGATTTCTCTTAACAGTTGCCTGAATCAAGTACTTACTTAAATTTCTAATAAGTTTAACATTTTTGCTAGACAGAAGCTCTATTAATTTAAACACAGAAGGACGAATACGATAATATGGCTTGATATACGATACTCTTAATTCTAAAAACACAGGACACAAGAATGAAATGAAACTCATCCTCGACATCTCCAAGATCACATAAAGTACACAAATCTCTGGTTTCGAGGCACTGTATTATATCTACCTGTCTCCATATTAAGGTTATGTGGTGCTTGCAATCTATACTTCGCAAGAATACATTTATTTTTTCTAAATAGCGGTTTTGTAAAATACCATTGTAGATCAAAACGGTCAACAATGTGTTTATACAACAAACATTTTGAAGATGTCTCGAATATGTTTCTCATTTCCTGAATAAAACTATCCTTTATGCGTTGTATATATAATAATAAAAAAGATGTCTCATTTGGTACACATTGTGCAAACCACACATCTCCAAAATCCAACGTACAATCACGTCTCAGATGATAAACCCAATTTGCCTTACAATTTGGTTTCCTGTTATAAAGATCTAAAAGTTCATCGTAAGAGGCCCGCAAAATACAGTTATCCGCCTCTAATATTTGTAGACAGTACTTTACAATAGCAATCCTACGCTGTATATGCAAAGCGTAAAGACCAAGTTCAAAATACACCATGGCATTATTTACTGTTTTCCTGACACCCAATACGGTTTTCAAAAATAATAAATGTATATTTTCAATCTGCGGTGCAGGACTATAACCCCATACTTCACACCAGTAATTCACAATACATGATATATAAGTATCAAATAAAGATAACATCTCTTACATTTGGGATAGATAACAACATCTGCCTCTTGGCTGTTGGACTTGAACTTTAAATTGGAGATATGATATACATTTGAGGGGGGTCAATTCGAGATTGCTATTACTAAACTTTACTATTCTTAATATGTGAATATTGGTAATGTATTTTAAAATTGTAATATATTGTGAACTCTTATGTAGTGCTGTTACATTCTACATTATCTGTTTAAAAGTGTAATGTAAATATTTGACTGTAAACTCTACATATGTATAAGTATGAAAAAATATATCGATTATATAAAAAGATATTTGAACCTCAAAAAAGTATTAAAACCTTATTTTTACCCAACAAAGCTCACACAGGTAACTTTCACACAGATAAGTTACATGTGGGGTAAGTATGAAACAGACTATAATTGGTTTGCCATTGTCTTCCTAAATCAACATTTTCCTTTGTTATATAAAAAAAAAAATGGGGGAAACGATAACACCCCCTTTGAGGAAATGATAATTCTTGAGTTAAACCTAGATTAACATTGCTGGTTTCGTCGATGAAACAAAAGCCGCTTACCTTTCAGGAAAACCTGTTTGATTATTCTTGTAAATGTTTAAGGATCCCCGAATAAATTGTTCCTTTGTTCATGTTTGCCCTATTCTATCGAGTTTCAGTTCGATTTATGGTTTTTGTTCCAACTTAAGTTTTCTCTTTTTGTTAAATTGCTTTCAAAATCACCTGAGTTTGACCTCTGAACAAATATCTTTTTCAAACGATACTGACATTTACTGAAATCAGTGATATCTATAAGCTGTGTCAAATTGGCTTTTGCAAAGCAAAACATGTGGTTCCACTAACTCTTCCACCTCAAATGTCACATTATATTCACACCTATGACTGCTGCCATTGAGAAATATTGGGAAAAACTAAATCAAACGATTCTTTTTTCTCAAAACGCTGTTTAATTAAAAAATAAAAGTTAATAAAAGCACACACAGCACACTTGTATACCATGCGAGAAATGACAAGGAAAGAGGTTATAGGAAATTGTAATACATCTGTGTCATAACTTATGTATAGTGGCATTCAACTATTCAACAGTAAAACAAATTTTAAAGAAAATGTGAAATTATATAAATTTTCATTTCAAAGTGTGCATACAGTATTCGTTATACTGACAAAATAAGAAAAATCGTTTGGTGGTAAACAACGAAGTGACAAATATAAACGTTTGGCATTATATCAATAATTATATAACAATAGACGGAATCTTGTTCTTCTAAAAGCTTGACATGGAAATATTCACTGGTACATCAAAACAGAGCAAATGTAGTCTTGAGTAAATGTATATTTTGGAAGATAGCAAAACATTGCTATTACCTCGTCGTCTATTTCTAAATGTTTCAATTTCTTATATACAACACTGCCTATATAAACGGAAACACATATACATGTATATAATGATAAAAAATACTTCTTACAAGAATAAATATTTCTTTAAAATAAAGATAGTTGTTAAATGATACAGTTTTCATTTACAACATAAAACGATTGATGCATACACGACATTGCAGCGTCACCAGTCGTTACCTAAACGAAATGACATTTAAAACTTTTCATAAAAATACAATTAATATTTTAATTCAAATACCATTAAAGTACATTAGTTAGTGATATTTTAGTTCCTTTCGCGCTAATTTAAAAGCGCTAAATATTGATAACTGTAAAATATATCTTTTATTATATAGCTGAAAATATTGATACCTATAGCGCTAAATCATAATGCACCAATAATATAATTCACTAAAGAAAGTACATTTACAGTTTTGTACTAAAATTAATGCATATATTTTCTGTTAAAGACGAGTTCTTCATAATATCTGGTACTTTTAAGCATTGTTTTTATGTTTTTCTTGTTCATATGTATTAAGCTGCTTTTAGATGGTATTCTGAGTCATAATGAATGCTACATGTAGCTGTAACGTGACAAATTCCATGAAACAGACTTGCTTATCATAATGTATCAGCTTATTTAGATAATTATGGAACTTACGTTTAGAATATTACTTCACTGATTGTACTTGTGGATTTGTTTTAATTTTGTTAAAAACAAAAAATTGAGTATTGCTTTATACATTTACAATTGTAAAGTATAATTGAAATAAAGCGAAAAGTTGTATTTAACTGGAATTTTACACTTCCATATCACATAAAATTCTTCAACAGCACAAAGTTATCACAAACATTGAAATAGTATACAATATATATTAAATAAAGTAAAGAAAGGAAAATTAATAGTATACAACCAAAGGCATACTAGATTTAACTCACACTAAATACAGCACTCATTGCAACCCTATTGTCAAACAAAAATGCATATAGCCAACATAAATATTCACAACTTTACTGAATAAAACTTAATACAACATTTCTTTTATAAACAGTACGATTTTTCACAACCTTTTTTGCAGAGGTTCATTTTTTAAAATAAACTGCTTCATCATTTGCTTTTTATAACTTGTAGGACCTACTTTCACTTCATATCAATAAAACACCTTTTTGTGAAGAAAAAATGTAGAAAAACGGTTTGATCTAAACCTACATTTGTTTATCAATAAAACAAAGTCTTTAATGGAAAATAATGTTGAACTATTGTTGACCTATTTGTTGATGCATTTTTTTGTAAACATGTTACGTATATCAGCAGTGTTACTATCTATATAATATAAACCACCATCAAAATAGTAATTTCGCTTATATGCATGCGAAGACATTATAACACATTATACAAGGTAGCTAGTATTGCTTACATGGAATCATCAGCACCTTGTTGCTGTTTTAAGAAATATAATGCGGACTAGTCAAAAAAATCCAAATGAAGAACTGTTCACACAAAAATCAAAAAAAAAGAAAGAAGGAAAACAACCTCCACAGTTTTCAAAAACTGCACTGGTCAGGTGTTAGCGTAAGTATCGTACTTTTTTAGCTGTAAGCCACTATTGGTCAAGTTTCTTAACAAAAGTTAGTGTTATTTTCTATTTAACTAAAGAATAGTGATAGATGTAGCTATGAAAGACTGTTTCCTCATACCCGGCTCCGGTTTACGGGTTTACAGGCTATGGGTATCCTGGTTGTGGGATTCCAGACTTTGTATCCTGGTTGTGGGTTTCCAGGCTGTGGGTATCCTGGTTGTGGGTTTCCAGGCTGTGTGTATCCTGGTTGTTGGTTTTCAGGCTGTTGGTATTCTGGTTGTGGGTTTCCAGGCTTAGGGTATCCTGGTTGTGGGATTCCAGGCTGTGGGTATCCTGGTTGTGGGTTTCCAGGCTGTGGGTATCCTGGCTGTGGGTTTCCAGGCTGTGTATATCCTGGTTGTGGGTTTTCAGGCGGTGGGTATCCTGGTTGTGGGTTTCTATGCTGAGGGTATCCTTGTTGTGGGTTTCCAGGCTGTGTGTATCCTGGTTGTGGGTTTTCAGGCTGTATGTATCCTGGTTGCGAAAATCCTGGTTGTGGGTGTCCTGGTTGTGGATATCCCGTGGGTCTCTGTTGTGCAACTCCTGAATGCATGACGTACATTTTTGTACGTTTATTCTTAAATGCCTTTTCTTCGTGCACCAGGCGGTAATAAGTCTTAATATTTAGTCTACCACTAGCCTGATGTCATGTCTAAAATGTAAATGGACAGGAATTACCTTTTACGTTAAAGATGGCCACCATGGTCCCTGATTGGTCAATTTTCAAACCGCTTTATCTCTGAATACCTTTGATGTGAATATTTCATCATTAGGTATTTTATAGCGCTGGTATACCATGTTTGTCATCAGTTCAAAGTGAAAGGTCAACTTAAAGTTATGTTTAAAAACTGTACTCCCCGAGGACCAAACGCCATGAAGTCTTGATGTTTGATGTTGCATTGTCATTCGCCCTGATATTGTGCTTTAAAGGTAATTAATAAGAAATGACCTTGTTCTTCATTCAAGGTTAAAGTTTTGGTCAAAATTCAACATGTGATATTCAGTACATTAATATTTCTTTTTCCTCCACTTTAATCAATACTATCATAATTTTGTATAGAATAGAGGGCATCGACGACTTCACAAAGGAACACGGTCAAGGTCATAGGACAAAAGTTAAGGTCATACATATATATTTAGGTAAAAGAAAAAGAGAAATAAATAAAAGCAGCAATATAGTGTTAAAGGTTACATATGCATCTTTAAAACATTTCTCTCTGATCGATATACAGTTCCACATTTTGTGTAGGGTCAAAGTTAAGCATTCAATAGATATGGCCACAGCCAAGTTCTATTCAGCATCAATACAACATCACAAAGAAGAGAAAAGAAAAGTGGAGGGAGACGTATAAAAGCGACCGTCCCCTACAGATCATATCAAAGATCATTGCGTGGAAGAAAGTCTCGTGTTATGGTGTTGATAAAATATATTCAAAGTTTTTTTAAACTTTTACTTATTCATTGTTTCGGTTGAAAATTTTACTTAATTGTATGTACTCGAATGCACAATGTTTGATTGGGTACATCTAAAAAAAAATCTCGTTAAAACATCTCATTAGAATGGTCTGGTTTCTTAGTGATTTACGTCCTTTGAACAGCTATGGTCATTTAAGGACGTCCAGGATTTGGTGGTGGAGGAAAGCCTGAGTTGCCGGAGAAAAACTACCGACCTACGGCCAGTACCTGGCGACTGCCCCACGGAGGCCTCGAACCTGCGATCCAGTGTTCGGGGCTAGCGCTAGCAGACTGTCAGACGCCTTAACCACTTGGTCACCGCGGCCCCCGCAGCTCGTTGGAACACCTAAGTTTTTCGTTATTACGAGCTCGTTCATCCAGATAGTAACTTCATACAATGAGAAGCTAGCTCCTTCTCATTGTAAGAAGTTACGAGATGGAAATAATTGCAGTTATCAATTTATATATGAAAAATGACTTTTCAAAGCAAGCTATACCTCAGGACAGCTGAATAGGGGACATAACTCGTAATACAAATTAACAAAGTATTTTATGATCCAGATTATCAAGCGCATCAGCGATTCAGTCATAGCAGCCATATCCTTAAACTAGCAAAAAATTCCCCTCCCACCCGCCCTGTTGCCAGTCTATTACATTAATCAAGTTTATTAATTGCTGATGATGGGTACCAGTATCTGGCCTTTAGTTTATCTACATTTCAGACGTCGGCATGATTTACCAGGGTGCTAAACACCGCCGGAGTTGGGGACTGAAGGATCCTCAGTGTGTTGAATTCAGTTTTGTGGTTGTGTTTTCGTGAAGGTACGAATGACCAAGAACTTTACTTATAGAGTCTAGATGGACAATTTGAAGCTGTGCACAATGTGTGAATGGAGCTCTAAAGGAAACAACAGACAGGTATATGGTTGGACTTGTGTTAGCAAATAATGAGCAAGGACAGGAGAACTGCAAACGTTTAATACTGCTGCAGTGATCACGTATAGTTTGCACCAGAGGAGGAAGTTATTACAAAGGACATTGTTCCCTTACAGGTTGGTATGCCAGATGTATATAACGTAAATGGTTGCTCAGACATTATGATGATTTACTGCTGAAATGTATGATTATTTTATGGTTTTGATGTGACTGGTGCCTGTTCATGGTATTTCATGAACCAATGTAAATATTACTTTGCCTCAATATAATAAAAAGCCTGTCATTATACAGAGATAATGTATGTATTCAAGCGATGGTATTGGAGCTCCAGACCATTCTAACTAGTAGACTAGTTAGTATGGTCTGGAATTTCTGTTAGGAGTTCAGGCAAGAGACCAACAGCACAAGATTGGGTTGAAAAGTTTCCAACAGTTGAGAAAGCTTTAGGTTAGAATTTTTGTTTATATACATGTATGGAGGGCACCAGTCATAGCTAAATCATAGCTAATTTTAATAAATAGTTTGATTGTATTCATATTCTTTGTCTTGTTTTAATTATTTCGATGTCTTCTATCAGCAAACTTTCGAAGGTTTTTTATGAAAGCATCCAATTGTCTAGTCATCTTTTTGACGAAAACCTTCTATTTTACTTTCTATTCCTTGAAATTTAAACATAGGATAGTGTCACACCCACTTGAATAACTGCCTGACAAAAACTCGTTCCCAGATCTAAACTCGATTCCCATGATGGAGACGACAGTGATGTATGTTTTACACAAACTTGAGATATACAGTAATCGGTTGTTTTAACATACAAGTATGCTATTGTTATATAAAATTGTTGATAAAAAGAAAATGTGCTACTAAATTTGAAAACCAGTCAAAATAATTTTAAAATGAAGATTGTTTACCTTTATTTTAGAATTCGTTCTGTAGGCAAGTAAACACTGATATCTGTTGAACTGTAAAATTGACCTTTATGTTAACAAAGAATTTCACCAGGTAACCGCCGGGCGTGACGTCATTGCTATAGAAAACAGCTGAACAAGTATTTTGTCCATAATACAACAAAATGGTTTGGGGTTTTTACGAAAACAATAATGAAAACCATCCATCCGCGTACTCAAGTATAACTTTACATGCATTATTAAAGGTTAAATGTCCCTTTAAATCCTTAAAGAGTATCGGCGTTGAATACAAAGGTGATAACGCACCTAGATATAAAACGTTTAACGTTATAAAATAATCTATCCAGCCCCGCCATTACAACATTGCCGATTGTAATTGACATGTAATGCATGACTTCATGAGAATATCGGCGACGTTTTTTCAGTGGACAGAGTCGACAACGTGTAGTTATATCCGTTATATTCATGTGCGATAAAGATAACATCACTCAGTCAATCGAGTGTTCGACACAATGTACCAACAGAAAATACCTTACCTTTGTCTATAAAATATAGATTTAAAAATAAATCTATAGTTCCTTCAATATACATAACTTAACTCATTTCAACTTGCTATAAAACGAACTAGTAAGATACGTCTCGAAGAAATGGTAAACGCAGATGCAAGCATTATTCCTGTAAATAAAATCATAATTTTCACTCATAACTCATCACAGTGCTAGTAGAACAAATACTGGGTGATGTTGCGCACATACTCTTTGTGGTTTTTAAAACGTTAATCGAAATCGATTAGTTAATATTTATCAAACTATCAGCCTTATAATTAAAACTAGGTACTTTTTAGCCCATCTGGTTGTGCATTTAAAGAAGCTTAATCTGTGCAGGAACTTTAAGATATATGTTTCAAACTTTAGATTCGTATTGTCTTTCAATACAGCAATTGGAGAATTTCTCACATGTTTATTTCCAAATGTTTAAAACAAAGATACTATAGGTTTTTCCTCTCTTCGTGTGACAGTATTATAATAATTATGGTCACCTTAGTTTCAAAACTGCACGACAAATATACCGAAACTAATTGCATGATGGTAAGGTGTCTTTTCCCCCATTAAAACAATTACGTTCTCTAATGAGGGAGCTGACATGATCGAGGAGATTCGCCATTCAAGACTTTCTTTTATATCTGCATTTATTAGGATTCTCCAGACTAAAGAGTGATGCCATGGATTTCTACATGAGAAGCTTCAATTTACGCTGAGGAAATTTCACGGTTTTCGCATGACCAAATTTAAAACTACATAATATTTTAGCTTGTGTTATGCTTAGGCACCACTTTGTGCTATTTTATGTTAATGTGACCTACACTCTCTTTATGGATTATACAAGTTACGCAATCAGTTTTTGTTCTTGGGTTTCGCTAATATTTCCTCAGTCGACTATAATCTTCACTCGTGTGCACTGCGAATGGCCGTGTATTATTACAGTTTGAATCGTTTACCTACAGATACATAGTTGTCAGTCGAGTTTTGGAAGGCCGGACATATTTGAGAAAACAAACATGGCACAACATCCAAATAATCTCCTCTTTATTACATATACTTTTTATCATTTTCAGAATCCAAGAGCAACGCTGCTTATAAATATATCTTCTCGGCGACATCATTCGATTTTTTATGAAAATTCCTGATTGCACCACATTTGTGTATGATACAAGTTAGCAGTCAGAAAACTGCCAAAGAATTAAAAATATGCGTTATTTCAAAGAAATGATTTGAAAAGAGATAAAAGTGAATCGTTCGGTAATGTAACGTCAAAATATACCAATTTAAATTTCTGAGTTACTCTTTGATTATCTTCAATGTACAGGTACAACTGTATATCAGCCTTGTATCATTGTTATAGGTCCTCGTGTGTATAGTAACAGTACAGCACAATAATAAACAATTATATAATATGACAATGATATTCCAGATATACATTTTCCGTATATCAAGTGATGTTAACCCAACCGTTTGACTGACGTTTGGCTATACCTTTGCGTATTGCACTAGATCTTATACATAAGATCAGAACAATAAGATATTCTGAAATGAAATGACTAGACGATTGGGTGTGTTAGCAAATCCAAATTTATTCAAAATTTCAGAATTACATAATATCACCCTTGATGATCGTTATGTAAATAGAAACTTAGCACGTGACTTATCCTTAGTGTAGCACAGTAACAGCAACCCGCGATCTAAAAGTTCACAAATATATCTATCAACTTGTATGTAATTTACATACACTACAGACTACACTCACTGCTAAACCATAAGTAACATAAATATATTTACAAACATAACAAAGAAGTAAAGATCAAGAGAGAAAGAAAATATAATAAAGAAGATCATTTAAAAACGCAAATAAGCTACTTTTACAACCACAAATGTAAAATAATGTATCATCAATTAGAAAATAAAATGAAAAATTGTCCTCACATTGAATATACAATGGTATATGTATGATGGTCCCTGGGAATCAAATGCGATGTCCCGTGTATCTGATGGTTCATTAGCTTTCATGTACGTACTGTGTACTAGATAACCTATATAATCAAAAGCGCGTTTTTATCGTCCGCGCAGGACAATACGATAGTGACTAAAATGATTAAGATACTAATATTGCACAGATGTGTCGCTATAACTTATGAACTGAAGATGTAACATTAAAAAGTAAAAACAAATTTGTGTATTCTTGATTTATTCATAAAATAAACGTGAACACCCATTTTTAAACAAGTATATATATCTAAATGACGGGAATCTTTACGTTAACATACCTGTGATCTCTAAATGACGGGAAACTATACGTTAACATACCTGTGATCTCTAAATGACGGGAATTTTTACGTTAACATACCTGTGATATCTAAATGACGGGAATCTATACGTTAACATACCTGTGATCTCTAAATAACGGGAATCTATTCGTTAACATACCTGTGATCTCTAAATGACGGGAAACTATACGTTAACTTACCTGTGATCTCTAAATGACGGGAATTTTTACGTTAACATACCTGTGATATCTAAATGTCGGGAATCTATACGTTAACATACCTGTGATCTCTAAATGACGGAAATCTATACGTTAACATACCTGTGATCTCTAAATGACGGAAATCTATACGTTAACATACCTGTGATCTCTAAATGACGGGAAACTATACGTTAACTTACCTGTGATCTCTAAATGACGGGAATTTTTACGTTAACATACCTGTGATATCTAAATGAGGGGAATCTATACGTTAACATACCTGTGATATCTAAATGACGGGAAACTATACGTTAACATACCTTTGATCTCTAAATAACGGGAATCTATACGTTAACATACCTGTGATATCTAAATGTCGGGAATCTATACGTTAACATACCTGTGATATCTAAATGTCGGGAATCTATACGTTAACATACCTGTGATTTCTAAATGACGGGAATCTATACGTTAACATGCCTGTGATCTCTAAATAACGGGAATCTATTCGTTAACATACCTGTGATCTCTAAATGACGGGAATCCATACGTTAACATACCTGTGATCTCTAAATAACGGGAATCTATTCGTTAACATACCTGTGATCTCTAAATGACGGGAATCCATACGTTAACATACCTGTGATCTCTAAATGACGGGAAACTATACGTTAACATTCCTGTGATCTCTAAATGACGGGAATCTATACGTTAACATACCTGTGAACTCCAATTGCTTTCATGCACTATCAACTGCGTGAATTTGCTTTACAAATCGAAACTACGACTAAAGATGTTTACCGTTATATTCAGTTTTGTTCGCGTCAGTAGGAGTAACTTGACAGATTTTGTTCATTTCCTTTTATAAATCTTTGCAGCATTAGTAGCATCTGCAACCCTTTTCTTTCTTCTGTGGTCTTTTTGACTCCCTAGATGTAAGACCACGTCATATATATTTCCTAGCAATAGGAATCCAGTTAAATATGTGAAAGTCGAGAGTATTATGAAACCTGGCCAGGTGGTTGCGAATGGGTATGAGTGCTTATATATATAAGGATTGTGTTGGTGAAAGTGTCTGGATGAAAGCCTGAATGAAAGGGGTATAAGAAAGTTATCGCATATATATCTACCGTGGGTGTTCGACGTATGTGTTACAGCTGCAATTGGGACTCTGTGTTTTTATCCGGGCTTTTGCTCTTTCTAACTTCCTTCCTTACTTTAGTAACCGGTGTTTTCATTGGATGACCCCTACTCTCTGGTAAAACCGTTCTGATTGGCTACCGTGGTCTACATAACATACCCACACATGGGAACTTGTGGAGCTGTACCAATAGCTTCGGCTGGGTATCTCCGTCTTTCTCTGTCTCTGTCATGTGTTGTGCTGTCATTATCTTCTGACCGGTCCGTGGTGCTAGGTGGGTGTTTGTGTGTTTCTGTACTGTCCGGGGAAAGCCTTGCTAGCTGCCCGCTGTGTTTATACCGTCATGTAGTGTGTTTGTTTACACCTTTCCCGTACATGTCCCAGTAGTAGCCGGGTAGGGGTTGAATAGCTTGTGTCGTCTGTGTATGTATGTTATATGCTCTATGTAATAAATCTATTAAATGTTATACACTATGTGAGTTGTTTGTAATGGAAACCCTGGAACCCCAGGCTCAATGAACCTGGGTAAGCAAAGCCAGGACTTGCTCCTGCTACAAATATGGAACTTTTCCACGAAAAATATAGGGCCTAATTACACATGCCTAAACACGCTTTAAAACAGTTTTCTCATGATCTGTTGTCTTTAACGGGTTTACCTGTGTATGTCTTGGTGGTTCATCTCTTCAAAACAATCACTACCAGTGTAGACGAGGTTATTCCATATACCTGTATATATTAACAGTTTCAATTGTAATTGACTTTATAACGTTTGTTTAACAGGTTCTCGTTATCGGTTAATAACACTATTGATCTCGCGCCGCGTGTAGTGACACATACAGACATGTTAGGAATGCAGTATCGTAGATAAGATATAACTTTAAGCAGATAAAAAAACCGTGAAACCAATTAAAGATTTCTTTATCTATTATTGTAATAAACGTGTAAAGCGTTACACATCGCAATGTTCACAGATAAGTCACGCTGGCTAAAACATATGAAATATTTTAATTTGGCTGTTTGCTCTGTTACTATGGTATCGAAGTCAATGAAAGTATAATCTGTTCCAAGAATGTAGTTGTTACGATCAGCAAAACAAAATGTGTACGCTTATGTTTTTCATCAAATGTTGACGATGAAATGAAACGGTGTTCTCATTATCTGTGGTCTTTTAACGGGTTTACCTGTGTATGTCTGGGATGTTCATCTCGTCAAAACAATCACTACCAGTGTAGACGAGGTTATTCCATATACATGTTAGTACAATTTAATTGATGTATATATTGACAGTTTCAATTGTAATTGACTTAATAACGTTTGTTTAACAGGTTCTCATTATCGCGCCGCGTGTAGTGACACATACAGACATGTTAGGAATGCAGTATCGTAGATAAGATATAACTGTAAGCAGATACAAAACCCGTGAAACCAATTAAAGATTTCATTATCTATTATTGTAATATATGTGTAAAGCGTTACACATCGCAATGTCTTCAGATAAGTCAAGCTGACTGAAACATATGAAATATTTTTATTTAGCTGTTTGTTCTGTTACTATGGTATCAAAGTCAATGAAAGTATAGTCTGTTCCAAGAATGTAGTTGTTACGATCAGCAAAATAAATGTGTACGCTTATGTTTTTCATCAAATGTTGACGATGAAATGAAATGATTAATGCCGAGAAAAAAAACTGCAAATACCAGGAATAACTTTGTTTGGGAGAACAACCATTGCTCTCTAGTTTAAAAATAATGGACTTCGTCTGATACTTGTTTGGACAAATTAAATTCATACCTTTTTAGAACGGCATACTTATAGCACATTTTATATTTGCTGGAGGAAAGAAATAAAAATATTTTGCTAATAATGAAGGGCGCTATACAAATGTTGTATAGTATTCTTAATGATTATTTAATGAGGGAGCGCCTCAAATAGGGTCACACATTTTACTTGTTAACTTCTAGTTGTTAACATACGGAGCATTGGACTGTCTTTTAATCTGAAAAAAACCTGCTGAAAAAAAGCCATTTGCAGCTTTGGTCAATGATATATATAAAAGACAGCTATTACTAGTGTTGATATTCAGATGTTCAATCGAATAGAGGTAATATATAGTTATTTCTTTTGAATGTACGAATCTCCTTTTGTTTAGATGACTAGTTGAAGTTTGTTTGAATATTTGATAATCAACAAGTTACATTGTATGGATAACACTGTTCACACTTTAAATGAATCGAATAAGTAAGTAAAAAATCAAATTAATCTTAAAATAGTTTGGAACATGTTTCATACGTTTTGTAAGGATTTGTCTCGCTCATTGTTTTTAAACAAAGTCAGGATTTACAGTGCCTTTAAATGTATGCTAAATCTTCCAATCCTATTGCGTCTTCTTGTCAGTTTGATTTCACGGTGTCTTTTGAGTTTTGATGTATTTATACTTGCCACTTTTGCAGGAACATAATTGACAACACACGAAATCTCGTAGCTCAACATTGCAGTTGTAAAAATGGGCGTCTGTGTGCTTTCTCGGCCGCAAGTTAAGGTAACTAGTCATCGTCCTAATTATTTGATTATAATCACGGCAATACCTTGTTGATCTGTTAGAGTTCGACAGGCGTACTTGTGAAAGAATTGTTTAAGAACATTTAGTCCAGTATTCTGCGTCGCTGAAATTGTTAAAGGAAAGTCATGTCCTAGTAATTCTGAGTTAATCCTTTAAAAACAATGGCATTATTAAGTACACATTTACCAACAGTTTTCTTTGTAGCATTGTGTCTTCGTTTTTGGATGATCAAGAGTCAAAGCTTATGAAATTGAGCATGTTGCTCTATCTATTTTGTTTCTTTAGTTATGATTTTAATTTGGCCCACTTTAAAATTATCAAGTGTAATCAAATTAATCATCGGTTGCCGTTTTCACGTCTGAATATACAATGTTACAGAACTTGTAGGTATTCTGTTATGTTAAAAAAGGATAAGTATATCCGTATTTTTAGTGGGGTGCTCCCCGTAATGCAGACGTCACCAGGTAAAAGTATATTAAAAGTACACGGGAATGACGGGAAAATGATAGCGGAGAAAGAATGCCATTATACATACAGTAAGCCATGCTAAATGTGTAGGCACTAGCTATGTATCTTATGTATATCATTCGTTTAAATGTGTGTACTTACCTGCTAGAGGCCGGCGATCATTTAGACAAGCTGCGGTCCACTCAAGCGTGACTCAGTTTATGCAATTTTATTTCAGCGAGAAATAGTCATTTGTGCGTATGCATTGATGAGTGCATTGGAGAAATAGATATTCGCATGAACATGTTAAATGGCAAAGACTTTTAAACACTTCATAAAAGTATCTGTTACCTTAGCTTCACTTCGATTAAGGTTTAAGTTTTTTAACTAATCTTTTTTTTATAACTCTTTGGGGGGATAGCGAAAAATGTGTGTTCTTGTGTAGGTTGTTGTCATACTATACAATATCATACACATTTGCACTTATTGATATATGTTGGTCGAAACGAGAGCCTGTGGCTATATCATGACTTATTGCTGACTAGCAGATCAATTTGCTCTGAGGTGTTTCAGTACATCTGCACAACCTGATAGAAAGCACTTTTGTATTTATGGCTGGAGTTATCTTCTACAGATGATCTGGATCCAGAGTACCCTACAGAAGAAGTGAAGAAATGTGTGGTGTAAGAGTGTGTGTCTACACTATGTTTCATTTTTGTGTATCATTTATATAAAGCGTAAAAAGATTTATTATGTGTCATTCTCCGGCAAGGCTGGGTCGCTCGTTCAATGGTTACAGCAGTTTGTTTGATTGTGACGGTTTTACATACAGCTTGACAATACCTCACTCCTATATGGAGTCATGTCTCTCTGAACTTTTAATGGTAGTAACATAATGGATATGAGTATTGGGGATAAATTAATGCATTTCCATTCAGCGTGGTGTAAAATAATACACATTTTTAAGTGTATGACCAGTCACTGGTATGATTCACTCAATTAACAATTGACTAATTTTAGAGAAAGACGATTTAGGTATTTTTGCTACACTTTTTGATAAGTTGTTGTCTCTGATTTTTTTAGTAGAGAGAGAGACAAAGAGAAGGAGAGCGAGAAAGGGTTCCAGAGAAATCATTTTAAGTATTATTTCTTATACCATTTAGAGGGAGGAAACCAATGCATAGAGTGGTTGTTTCTGTACATTACTGTTTCATATACTAAGGTATTAATATACCTGCAAAATTTATACCATTCATGAAAGCAAATTGTGTATAGTAGGCTTATTCAAAATGCACGCAGCCTTGCTTTCAAGATTGACGTCGTTACAATAGAACACCAAAGATTACGCTATTATATGCCCAAAGAAAAATTATACAGTAGTTATTTTGATGTTGAAGGTAGTTTTATTCTGTAATAAATAGAAGTTTTAACGCTTTTCCCGTTTATTATTACATATTTTACTCGTATAGCAGACTATATCAACATTTTCAATCGGGCTCGAGTATATAGATATATAGATTAACTGACTTCTCGTGAAATGCAAAAGGTTAACAACGCGAAACCTTTAAATATCCTCCATATCTTTATGACAGGAAAAACAATTGCTCTAGCTCACAATACATAAATGTCAAAGATACAATGTTTTTATCTTATCATTCTCAAAACAAGCTTTTTAATTTTAACAGTATTTCATAAATAAAACATAAAGAAAAACCTTTCAGAAAATTATTCATTAATTTACTATCAAAAAGGAGATTTGGAGAAAATTCTCAAAATTAAACACTTAGGAAGTGTTTGTTTTACGAAAATGGCTCATTGACTAGATTTAAGGTTTTTATATGAATGAAGGTTTGGTTATAATGGAATAACACAACAATATAATTATTAATGAATTTATATTTCCTGAGCATTTTTTTATTGCATTCAATTTCAATTTCTGAATGAAGAGACGATATCTTTTGACTATTCCAGTAAAACAAACACTGTATCTCAAAATATTAATACATAATTATTTCAGGAATATGATATCCCGAACGAGGAATATCCCTTTGAGAAAGGCAACTCTCATTCGATTGACCTTGTTTTGAAAAACTCGAAATTCCTTAACCATCGCTATAAAGGGGATAATGATCCTTTACGGAAAGTTGATCAGAAGAACAGAGAACTTCTTCAAGAGGCTGAAAAACGATTACAAGGTGAAAAATCAACGATCAAGGAAAACCTTAAATTGCGTATCAAACTGTATGACATTGAAGACCACACGACCAGTCGTGTGAAATATATCGATCTAGTATCCGGAAAACGTGAAAATGATATAGAATGTCATCGTCAAGGGGATGGATCTATAAGCTGGAAGTATAAAAAGGTAAGATTTCATTGCCGTAAATATCATAGCTGTGTTAGCCGATCTAGAAACCAGTGAATGGCTGAAGAAGAAAATAAAGAAGCACGGAAAGAAAGAGGGAAATTAAAAAGGGGAAAGTTTGAGAGTCTCCTATTTTATCATAATTGTATCAGCGGAGAGAGATAGAGAGAGTTGGAGGGGTTTGAGAAGTTTTCAGAGTCTATCTCCAAATTAATCATAATTTTAACAGGTGCTTGATTGTTGCTGTGTTTGGTCTTTTAATCTAACATGGTTTTTTTATAACTAACACATTGTTAAATTTTTCATTTAAAACTGATTTTCTAGGAATTTCATTAATATCCCACTAAATCTTAAAACGAATGCACAGAAAGCTTTTATTTGTTTTGAAAATATAACTGCATTTAGAAATATTGGTCACGTGATATGATTTACATGTGTCACCTGAAGTTGTAAAGACGTCATTTTAAGTTTGGCGTTCGGTTTCAAGTAACCTTGTTACATGGTTTACGTGCTTTTTGCCCCTGAAACACTAACGTACACCATGGAATAGTGCGTCACTCATGATAGTTAATAATGGCAAGGCAATTTTGAAAATACTTATTAATTTGCTATATGAGCTCGAATAAAACTCCGAAATCATTAGTTATAATGTCTCAATAATCCATTAATCTCGTAGGCGAGTAATATTTCTACTGTATTTTAGACTTGATATCTCGAATTTCTGGTTTATTTCTATTGTTTTCATCTACCAAATCACAGAACGTAAATGAATACATTGTATCTTTCTGCTTGATTATTGACAGGTTTCTTTTCTAACAGTTTAAAGCAGACGAAGGTTGAAAATATGAAAAATAGAATATTTGACCTCTTTGTGCTAAAGACAAAAATTATCATATTCTTATAAGAGAAGATTCTATTATAGTTGATTGCGTCTGCATTCTTAATTATCTATATTTTTTCGGGAAAGGGACGTGGTTATTAATTTTTTAATAGCATTACGTACAAATCGGACCTCCGGTCCGTAATATGTTAAAGACAGTTCAAATATGAAGCAGATTTGTTGTAGAATGCTAAAATGCCAAGCAGTTCATTATGCTGACCAACTTTATAAGCAACTTCATAGCTATTTATTTTTATTTCTTATATATTTATTTTCATGTGAAAACAATAAGTTGTTTGCATGTGTGCCTTGAACGCATTTGTGATAACAACAAGTATATATATATTCCAAAATATGTCAACTTCACACGAATTTATTATATATTTTCAAACAAAATATTGATATACTGAATGTATATTAAGACTTTTTTCTCACAGGTTGGAAGCAGAGCAGACCAAGATGTGAGTAAATTGTCTTTGACTAAATAAATAGCATTTCAAGATGTGTTTTAATGCCGGTTATAGTGTCGATTTTGATCTTTAATCATTCTCTAGTGAAGTTTTAAGAAGTATTTAAAACAAAAAGACTGGCCGAAACCAATAGTGAATATAGTTAGCTGTATTTCTTCCTGAATGGAAAACAAGTAGCTCAGGGGTAATGAGAGTTATAACTTACATAAAGCACCAATTACTTAATCATCCATGAACAGTCAGTATAATGGAGAAGATTTTTGATTTTTTTCTCAAACTTGCCCTATTTGGGCCCCTCCCCTCTAGCTTCAGGGGTTATACAGAATCTTAATTTCTGATACCAACTAATTGCCATATCATTTTATAACTCCTACCAAGTATTAATGGTTACCTGATGGAAATAGACAAAAAATCCCACAAGTGTTTTTCCTATTACACCTACATATAAACTATAGTAAAGTTTACCAAGGGTCAACACATGACCCTGGGGTAATTAAATTAACAATGTATATAAAGCACATATAGACCTTATATTGAGTCTAAGGAAGAAATTGTTTTAAATTTTAAACAATTTTCCTATTCGGACCTTAACCATTCCGCTTATTGTGTTGGACAGGTATCTGTCAGAAGCTGTAAGAAAAGTGGGACTTTAAGAATCTCTTCTAAAGCAAAATTCTTTGAACAAAATGTTATGCGGGATGTTTTAAATTGACTGCTTCGAGAAAACCACAGTTTATGATAACCTAACTGGCAACGAAGTTCATCTGGTCTTTACATAGCTACCACGTTCTCAACACGTTATATATCATATCTTGGAAAGAATAATAATAAGAAGTATTCGTGATGCGAATTCCCTAACACAATGGACATGAAATTCATGTAAGTCTTATCCGTTTAAGTTATATCTTCGCACTCTCTATTATATAAAACGTAATAAGACCTAAATACAGCAGAAAAAGTTGTCTACCTTAATGGAATAAAACAAAATCAGAAAAATGTATTGTTCTTTTCTTTGGGCAAAAATTATAATTTTGTCATCTTATTGGCTACCAAGAAAACGTGACATTACTTGGATTTGACCTAGATTTACATGGCGGGTGTCGTCGATAAAGCAGAAGACGCTTACCCTTTCGGAACTGTTGGTTTTATTTTCCTTGTGTTTTTTTCAACAATTTCAATGTAAATCCTTCCTTTGTTAATATTTGGCCCTAATTTTATCGGTCTTAAGTTTGATATTATTCAGACGTGGTATATCAAGATGTTGTATGTTTACCTTCACTTTCATTTCATAGCTGATAATTATACTTGCTTTATTGTTATCTTCTTCATATCATTTAATCCTAAAGGAGGAATATACATTTGATGAGATAAATGTGTCGAAGATTAGCCAGATTTTGAATGAATCAAAGTTCCTAGGAGCGCAGTGTCATCGAGATTCCGTAGGCCGCGATGTTCGAGAAAAGATGGGAAAAGCTTGGTTTGACCAGAAAAACTGTAAACTTTACTATAGAGTTAGAAAACAAGGAAGATGATATCAATATCCCTATCAAACGCATCATCATGCAAGCGGGAAATGGTGAAGATGAAATACATAGCTCAAGTGGCAATCCTTGGCAAGTTTTGAAAAGCAGTGATATACATAAAGCTGCTAATGTAGGTCAATCGTTCGTGGACAGCGTCACAAGCTTATGGAAATGGAAATAGACAATAAATGAAACTGAAGTTGAAATTATAATTCTTTCATTCAGTAAGAGTATTTACCAGATGATAAAAAGAAGAAGGAACCAGGGTTTTAAGATCAATCATGACAGTTCTTTACTATTCAATCATTTCTTTGTTTTAAGGTCTTGTGTAGAGTATCACGACAACTGTATCATCAGTGAACTCAGTGTAGTAAGAATTATACAGCTACAGTGCATCAAAGGGCCTGCAATTCTTTTATTTACTTCAATTTCACAGTTAGATGTCATTATTTTATTATTGTGTTTCACAGATATCTTTGTTCTCCTATCGCATTTTGTTTCTATCAGAATTCTACCCTGATCATTCACATTTTATTTTTCAAGTATTTTCATTACAACAAACAATTTGGAAAAAATCTTTAAATATTAAGAATATTTTACATTGTTTTGCTGTATAAGACATAGGTTGGTTGAAAAACATGGAACTTAAAAGTTAGATGTATAAAGGATAATACATTGTACATTAACCAAGACGACACATGTGCGTACGTCCTAGCAAACAGAAAATATTTTCATTTCTTAAAAGAATGTTTTGGACCGAATATATAATAATTAAAATCACATACATGTCACCAACTGGAGTACTCTTTATATCCATCTTAATTTCTTAAACGTGCAAATAGAATGTGAAGTCTGGTTAATATTTTTTTGTAAATCTTTTTTTTCTATACCAAACAGAAAAAAGTTAGGCAAGATTTGCTGTAACTTATTTTAAACATATCAAATACGTGCTATATAAAACACCTTTATAAATAAACTAGGAGATTACATATGCAAAGTAATCATACAGTTTACATAGTAGGCTGGTTCTATATAGATTTGACATGTTTGATGTAACCATGCGAGATTTTTATGGCTTCATAGTTATCAACTAATAAATCTGAGACACATCAATATTTCAGAATACGAGTTTTTACTTAAAGTGATATTTTTTTTTAATTCTGATCTGAAATAATTCACTGCCATAGATTTGAAGCTTAACGGAAATACCTGAACAGTGTCCGATTTGAAAACTTTCACGCGAGATTGTTACTGCTGATATTGGTTTATATCTACATTTTTGGTTAGTGGATAAGACTGAGGATTGTACAACGGAAGTGTTAATATTGCCCAATAGCGGTAGGCGAGTATCCTATCTTTACATACAAGGAACAATGAAGAATTTCTTGAAGTAGATATTTTGATTTGTTTTGCTTTCTTTTTTAATATTCAATTTTCATTCTTTATGTAATAGGTGATGATCCCACCTTTGTTCACATTGAACAGTGATTAAGTTTATTAGTTACATTTTGATTAATTATTCAAAGATATGTATATTCATATAATATTTTTTTGTGTCCATTTTGTCAACTACAATGTAGCAAAGATATTTATATTTATATGTTTTTGTTGGTTTTTTGCTTGGTTTCCATTTTTCCATAATGACGCAATGATATTTGCTTTTTAATTGACAAAGTTTCACTTGTAGAATAGAGCAAATGTGTGTGTTGCTATATAAGTAGCCTTATAGAAGATTAGCATCATGACCAGAAATAATAATTTACGTTTTGTTTTGTCAATATATATGAAATTATCTTAGTTTATGATATCAACGTTGATTTTACAAGAGTTATCCTTATTTTACTACAAGTAGTAAGAACCTCTCCATGGTGTAGTGCGGAGGCTTTGGACATTGACGTTCAGAGTTCTAATAGAAACTTGTGAATATAATTATGATTCGATGCCTGATAGTTCCAACAAATTATTATTTATTAATGTACTTAATAGTATTTTTAGACACTGGAAGTCAGTACAATTACCACATATCATCGGGTTATGAGCTTGATCATACATTTGTATTCATTAACTTTGACAACAGCTCGTTTTCGAACTTACCATATATTTATTGAAGTGCATTTCAGTGATCAGACCATGTATATTGAATTATATTTTACATATAACAGTGAAATAATTTGAATTGATGAGACTTAATTTGAATTTTACCACAATTATCCCCCTTTTACTTGGTTATTTTTGGCAAATGGTTTTGTTTTGTACTGACGATATATATAGTCAATGTGCAGGTCGGAAAAAAATACTAAACGTGCCATGAATTATACCTGTAAAGAATATTAGATATGCTGCTAGTGTTATAGGACGTCCGTGGGGAGAGCCTGTCCAGCGTCGGTAGATGAAAGTGATCGTATAGAAATTTAGGTTTTCCCCCAAACTACCGACAAACTGACCGGCGGCAATTCCTAAGAATGTCCCGCTGCGTCCGTCTGTACAGTCAGACATAGGTCCTTCAGATGTTGAGGAGTATCCGAGTTATAAATCAATCAACACTTTGTTTCAAAGTTAACTAACGTTTATTACATATCACACGGCTAAGGTAGCCGTTAAAACATGGCAAACAATACGTACATTAATAACAGTAGAATATAATACAAGACAGAACAAAACCTACAGTGTAGAGAAAAGAATGAAGTGTAGTGAACCTATATATATTAGCCCCTACGTGGTAAAATAAGGCCTATAAGTAAATGTAACTATTCTATAACGGTGAAAACCACCCCCTCCCGGAACACTGAAATACGTCAAGCTAACCAGCCTTAACCTTACCCTAACGTTCCCTAACGTAGGTGTACTGCTTACATTACACAGATAGCACTGTTTTCAGCGCCTTGTTGGAGGGGTTTTCCACTCCTGGTACAGCCGGCTTTCCGGCCACGCAAGTCCCCGATTTTGCCTGTGCATCCCCTTTTATACCCCAGCCTCCTGGCCCTATGTATCATATATCGGACACCCATTCCGATTGGCTTAATCTATGGCGTATGCACAATGAGCCCAGAACCTCTTCCGGTAAGTCCCCAACATCCGGTCGTCTCAAAAGTAAACACCCATGTTAACAAATAGACTGCACCAGTGTTATCGCTACAATTTTTAGTTTCACTTGGATGGCAATAAAGGGATACACAGGGAAAGCAGTAAAACAAACACTCCTCCCCCCTTAAGATCAAAGTATTATTTTACACAAAATATACCTTTGTCTAATCATAGCGGCTACCCTATCACCACGGGGAGACTCTAGGAATATACACTAGCCTATACGACGTATACTTATAAACATGTATAGAAAACTTCAAAACTTGCAATAAACAAGTCTCTTACTAACACTATAATACATATAAGGAGCAGGCAATTACTGACCTCCTTATAGGTAGAAAAATATAAAACCAACTCTGATAAAAATACATCTAACATGGTCAACTACAAACAAAATAATTGTCTCAAAAATACAAAAATAGAAGGACATACATGTAGCTGGTAATACAATTCCTGAAAGAGAATACATACAATAACATGTAAAATCAGCATAACTTCCTGTAAATCCAGAATGAATAAAGTTTGTTCACTAAAATGTCACTGTAAGTTGGCGAAGTTCTTGAAAATAAAAACATAACGCTTAAGACATTGGCAAGTTGAAAACACATGCATAAGACTTAATCCCACGAGTCTGTAAACATCATCAGCAGTCTGTCTAGCTGGTGGCATGGATCCATCTTCCTCTTGGTTTGGTTCCTCGGTCTGGAGCGTACGGAGCTCCCAATCCCGTCGGCTCTCTGTCCCTGGATGGACTATCGAAACGGCACTCTTCTTATGAACATTTTTGGGACAGTGTACCTCGGTGGAACTGGTAACAGTTCCTGGAGAACCTCACCCATGTTCACAGTAGGTCTTAGCTTAACTGTTGTACAGGCCAACCAGTGTTAGGCAGCGTACCTTAACACTATTCTACCCGTCTGCTTTATTAAAGTGACTCTCTTTAAATTGTTGAATCCCACTTCTTTACAAACATAAAACCCATTGTAATTAGGAAGTAGACTATCTCCCTTAGAATATCACATAACTGTACTAATAGTCCTAAGAAGATCACTTCCATGATATCGAAGTACTAATCAGCATAATCCAGTTGCCTTTTTGAATATATACGATGTAGATAGATTCGAATGGTCACATTCAACGTTGCTATCTGGGAGAATTCCGTCCTGACGACTGGTAACAGTCGTTCTCACTGTTTTCAGTACCCCACCCATGTCCTGTATTTTATCTAAATTAAAATCTAGACACTCTACGTTTGTAATTATTTAACGTATAGTCTCCCACTAGTTAGTTTTAAAATTCAACTACCTATGTACAACTTATTTTACACTTCGTGTAACTTCCCAGTCAGCCTGGTACAGGTCATGAGGAGGTCTACATAGCATACCCTAACCAACTGTATAGTTACGGAGGATACCACACCCTGGGTCTACCTATAGCTACTCTATCTGTCTGACAATGTCCCTTCCTATCTAGTATCAACATCAGTGTCGAACACAAGCATTTGCGTTTAGTAACACTATCTTCTAGTATTGTATAGTGTAACGTATCAGACATAACGGTACCAACTATAATCATCGCTATCAGTCCTGTCAAAAGCATGACCATCATTAGTTGAATAAGCTTAGCATGGTGGTGTTTTATCGTAGCTAGGCTAGTGTCCTCACATGAACCCTTTTCCAATAACGACACATCCTTCAAGTCATTGTCTCCCTCAACATTTTGACTATTGTCTATTTGAATTTCAAAGTTGTTTGGGAGTTTATTCTCAGAATGCTCACCTAACTCTGTGTATTTCAAACTCTCAACATTAGTTACCGTATCCACAGTACTAATGACCGCATCTGACTCTATGCAAACACTTTCTGATGGTGCTATGTCAATAACAGAGAGTACTAACTTATCACCGTTGTGTATCTTTCTGTTTAACTGAATTTTTCCCTGATAGGTTACTAAGATTTCGTTTAGAAGCTGAATTTCATTCACTCTCATATTTCACTAAGAAATCCATCCCTAGTAAACCTAGTAGGTTATCTACAGCTGCCACTATAAAGGTTTGTTCAAACTTATATGATCCCATTTCAAAAAATAAAGGAATACATCCCTTAACATCGAGTTGGTTTCCTTTACATCTGTATACAGACAACCTATGCCTGAAGATACATTATGTGAACTAAGTCGAACCTGGCCCGACACCTTCTCTTTTTTTCTATTCCCCCTTGAGTTTTCTCCTCTTTGTCTAACTCTGTTTTAGGCCTAGATACACATATTGTGTGTATTGTATCCTGATAAACTGGCATCTCGGCTACAACCCCAGCCTTCTTTAGTTTCCCGACCTACTTAGTTTTTCTTCTAAGTCCCTTAAATTACTAAGTCTGGTACAGTCCCTTATATAATGACCCTCTTCTTTACAGAACAAGCAAGCCCC